TCGAGTCGAGTCGGTCCATTTCGACCCAAGTTGCTGGAGTTTCCTTTGGACCCTTCCTGGGCAGAGTCGGAGGGTTGTGACATCAAATATGGAGATCGGAGTGCATCGACGGACAGGACGACGCAAGCACCTTGAGAGTGGGCCCTGACGTTCCGGAGACGAGACCTGCTCTTTACAGGTCTCGGCTGAAATGAGTGAGTCAACCTGTTGCAACAGCACATCTTATAGTCCTGCAACCCTTCCAACCTTTGAAGCCTTTGTTAGAAAAAATGCGAAATGAAAGAAATCACATTGACACACAGGATGAAAGCATTCATCTGCCATTCGCGGTTGAAACCGCGAAGGCTACGAGCCTTCGAGCCAAGCGGAGGATCATTTCCACACCGAGTTGCGAGTCTTTGCTGTTCTGCTCTGCAGCTTCCTAGGCACTACCGCCAAGCAGTGCCTATGATTGCCTATGACTATATGTTGATTCCCTCAGTTTCTCTGGAAAATGAATGCCAACGTTTTTCCCTGTTCTTGTTCGGTGGGGAAACCAATTCCCCAAAAAAGTTACTGTAAAGTTTTCCACTGACTATGTAGGATGATGTAGGATGCAAAGGATTGACGAATAAAACACCCCACATGAAAAGGGTTTTAGAATCCAAATGGGTGGGATTAACTTTTAAATCAACGGTCTATAGTAATACAGTATCATACACTATCTATATCATACCCTCATGAGCACATTTTTCTATATAAGTGATCCCAATCTGGTCATCGCTGGCTTTGGTGGTGGCTCACGCGTCAATCCAGCTGCCCGGGACGCCAGATCAGATCCACTCGCCAGTCTTCGTGACACATTCCACAAGTCTTGCTTCTGCGTTTCGCTGTAGCATGAGAACACCCGTTGGTTCAAACACCCGTTTTCACCCGAAGGTCTCCGCAGACATCTGTGTTGTTGGTCCCTGATGTTCCAAACCCTGAAAGACCCTGGTGCTGCCAGGTCGCTGGAACCTCCTTAGGCTCTTTCGCCTCTTTCACCTCAGGCCTCGACAGCTGACTTGGTTAGGTGCAGCAAAGGCAAAGACCCCATGCTTCACCCTATGTATCATATTGTGTCATCAGTAGTCGATTCAAAAGAAAAATACATGCATCAGAGGCATCGACAAGTTGTTCGCCAAAAGTTCGGTCGAGAAACTTGCTAGCTTCAGATGGAGCTTCTGCTTTCCCTTCTTTCGCCTCAACCACCCCGCGCACGGAGCGAAAGGGCTTGCAATATGCGTGCAATAGAAAGTCCAGCTCAATTAGGTTTGGCTCAAAGAATGGACATTCCAACACCAGGAAAAAGTGAAACACACACACACACATCACTCACAAGTTGTGTCTGGGGACCAAAGCAAAAACTGTTGAACCAAACCGACCAAACAGAATCCAGCAAAACATGACAAATGCATGCCCATTCTCTGCGCATAGCTCCAACACAGCCATCCTACCTGTGCTGAACGTGCATGCCAAAAGGCACTAGTTTCAGCCGTCTTTGGCTTCACATCAGGCTTGGCGCCAGGCTTGGCCTGGGCCTGGTCGCAAACCCCCAGTGATTGCAGTGGCTACATGTGCAAGTTTGCAGCCATGCTGCACCCAAGTCAATGTCTGACCCAATGGAAACCGGAACAAGCACCACTCCCTTGAAGGGCTCGGGTAAAACTTGCTGCATCTCCCCTTTCTATCACTTGATCTTTCCGATGAACCTACTCGATGGAAACTCTGCTTCAATGTCACGCCGTCTGTAGATTCAGCTTGCTTCTTCACACAACGGTTGATTTGTTTCTGCTGCAAGGAACCATCTGAACCTATAGTCTATGTGCTAAACTCGCCCGTTTATGCCTTCTCGTAGAACTTCCCGAAGCCCGCTGGAGGCTTATCCTGGTTGCCTCAGTCTCCCACAAACTCGAAGAGGCTGGGCCAAACTATGGCTCCGGATCCATCCCTTTTCCAACAGCTGACAGTTTGCTGTGTCATCTTGTACAGCTGTTTTTTTCGATCGACTTCGGTTCCGCTTCCCGGATCGACTTGTACGAGTTTCTAGTGTCCTGAGGTGATCAGTTTCGAGGATTCCCAAAAAGGTCGGAGTTTGGAAGCTGGTTGGAGTCTGGCGATGTACAGTATCAGCAAGGGAATGAAGGATGGATAACAAGTACAGCTTTCTGAAATTACTTTCCGCTTGCTTCAAAGCTTTGATAGTTTTGTCATACTTGCAGACCAATTTGGCTTGCAATTCTGTTTGCAACCGACTTTGCGGATAGCTTGGTAGTTGCATGCGTTCTGAGGAACATGCAGCACTCCTTTCTTTGTCAATCCAGTCTTCTTTTGAGAAGCATTTGGACGGTTTTCACTTCTTTGAGTGTGGTCTTCTTTTTGTACTGAATGTGAGAATTTGTTTGTTGTTGTCTCACATGTCTTAAACGTGTATCAAATAGCTATTAGACATCCAAATTGGTTTGGGTAAGGGACGTGAGATGACGTGAGCACCTAAAGAAAAGAGCTCTATCAAATAGTCCCTGCAACGAAAAGGATGACACAAAAGCTCACCTTCAAAGATTGGTGGACGGATTCTTAATATTCCGCTATCAATTGCGCCTGTGTCTGTCACATATCCAATTTGACTGGGTGAACGACATCGGCTCAGAAGCTCGTTGATGTTGTCAAAAGAAACCGCTCATTCCAAACCACGATGGCGCTGATAATTAGATGGCAGCACTTTACTCAAAGCTCCGTGTCTGCCAACCCTGCAATAAACAGTTGGGCCACCGAACATGTCAATTAAAACACATCCAATTGAGGGAGGGTCTCCATCACCTTGAATAGAACAGTCCTCATACATGCCATGTGCTATAGTAGAAATAGGAGGTCTTCATCCTGCATTCTACCAAATCCCCACTTCTCATCTGACCAAGTCCATCGGACCTGTCGAGTATACCGTCCTCCTGAGACCCTCCGTTCTCCGCCCTCACCGCCTCCACCGCTACAAAAGCGCAGGCCCGGTCTCCGCCTAACGAGTGCTGAACAGAACAGCGGAACGGTGGCCGCTGGTCCCCGCTGGTCCCACGGCAATGTCCGCGGCAGGTAGGTTCAAGTGAATCACATCTCAGCAAGTCCGGAGTCACCAATCCGCAAGTTCCCCAAAATGTCACTGACGAAGAATCGCCGGCCAATTTCTTGGAATCCTTCCCACGGCTCCCTGTGTGCAGCCAGGCAACTGGAGTTGAGGTCGGCGAAGAGCGTTGACAAGCGCCTCCGAAGATGGAGGTTTGAGGCGTATAGCCGCAATAGCGGAATGTAGCCCAAAAAAGCTGAGGGGCAAACGTATGCACACCCCACTCCCCAGCCTCATCACTAGCTGGCCAGGCATATTGGACTAAATGAAAAGCAGCTCAAAGATTGGCCGGATGAATGAGGGAACCCCATCAGCCAGGTGATTTACCTACTCTCCAAACAAACCTAAGCCGGGCGCATGCCTGGCATGTGTGAAATCACATGTAAAATCACTACCCTCCTTCCACTCACAATGGACCGGGTCCGATGTTCCTGTGCTCCCTCTACGCGCGGAGTATTCTCCGCGTTGCAACGACATGCACTCCGACATGCAAGCTATATATCAAACTATGAGGCAAGCAAGAAATTAAGTATTTCAACAAGCTGACGTTTTTCTGAGATGGCTCTTCTTTGTGTCCTTTGGATCTCATGGGTGTGGATTTGAAATGCTTTGAGCCTCCTGGACAGGTTTCTTGCACTCTAATGTGGCAGAGACTAGTCACCTGGATGCACCGGGTGCCAACAGAAACCTTTTGCGTTGCTTGGCGCACGATCTTGCCCGATCACTGTCTTCCTGCCTGACGAGGCGCACGACGTAGCTTTGAAAGCATGGAGCGCCTGGTGCAGCACGGTTGTTGTGTGGCCACACTGACAACCAAACAAGATAGGAGCCTTATACATATATCATTTCGCATGTATCATCCTAAACGAGCTTGTGGACCAGTCACCATGACATGGTTCCGAGAACAAGTGCAATGGTCAGTATCACCAGTCCTCTGCCAACACCGGCTTCCCAATGGTAAGCACCTCCCTAACACTGAGACCCAGGACCCATACCCTGGAGAGGTGTTCTTGTTGGCACTCCTGGTGTCGTGCTATGTGCCGTTCACCAATTCAACAAGTGTTCTTTCGAAGGTGGTGGATTGATCCTCCTTACCACCCTCTGCGGTCCGATCATGCACCCTCCTGTCTAGCAGGTCCAACTTGAGACTCCCAGCGATGGATACGTGCAATGCACACCGCTGTGAAACTCACGTGTGCCTGTCCATATGCAACCCTATCCACACTAGAAGGTCCTATGCAACTCACGTGTGCACACCGTGTAACCCACACATCCCGCACACTCCACCGGTGGCCTTTATGCCTGCGGCAGCACGGCGTCTGGCGTTGTTGAACAGAAATGGCTTCGGCAACCTATCTGCGGAATGATGCGGCAAGCAAATCGAAGCAAACATGATCCAAGCGGAAGCTTTATCCTCAGAATCTTTGCTAAGTGCTCCCTGCTAAGTTTTTTGGATAGCCTCCCAACATCTCAAACTTAGCAGGGAGCACTTGCCGCGAAGAAGTCCATTAGAGAACTTGCATGGCTTGGCACCAGTGCATCGTGGTTCACTAGCTGCTGTTGTTTTGTTGTCCGTACGGAAACAGTTGCATCTCAAACTGTATGAAGGCACTTTCGACTCAGTTATGTACTTGCAGCCTTTTAGCTGTGCCACCCAGCACTTGTACGCCCCAATGTCTCAATTAAAGCCTGAACATGATCAACTATACAAGCCTCAAGCTACTAGTACAGGTTCAATAAGGAAACGCACAAAAGTCGTATGTTCGTACAAACGGCGGTCCAACCTGTCCCATGTTCGACGTTCAACGCTGTTCCCCGCTCCTCCACACACGCGCCCTCTTTCCTCCCTCTGGGCGCTCCTCACATGGACAGCATGTTCCAAGAGGCTGGGAAGGTGTTCCTGGCCCCAACGGGTTGAACCAGCGGTCACCTTCGACAGGATCTTCGACGCTCCGAACAGTCCTTTGGTGGAGTGAAACTGACTTCTGCACGCTGCCCATAAGAAGTTGGTCGCATGTCTTGCTATCGCCTTTGACTGGGAAAACACTTCGTAAAGACCAGGCAACCTTAGATCAAAAGTATTTTGAAGAACAACCGGTTTCAAGATGAAACTTGTTTCAGACAAGTTGTCAAGTTTCTTGTCCGCAGTTGTTTGATTCTTGCTCCAATAGGGCAATCTCATTCACAAACTTGGACATTTGGGAGAAACTGAAACTGATGCTAAAACATGCAAATCCAGCTGCGCGGACAAGGCCTGAATCAAGGATTTGGGACACTTCACCGACTCCTCCTCACAAACGACCACAATGAACTCCCTTAAGGCCGCACGAAGGAGGTCCACGAGGAACAAAAGTGCTTTGATGTCTTGTGCACAGGGAAAAATCAAAGCACCGCATTCAGTCAGCGGTCAGACCTATACAGGGAGTGGACAATGTCATCCCTCCCCAAGCTAAAATCCACAATGTGACAATGTAGATAAAAAAGATACGACTTTGTCATTTGCCTATAAACCAATTTCACCCTGAATCAAGGGAAGCCAGTTCTTTGCTCTGGCTGTCGCTAAGGCCCCAGCTGGGATGCCTCCGGGATCTCGCCTGGAATGGCTATCTCTGGCAGGGCGAACGGCTCAAACGAGCACAGTGCTGATGAAATAGAGGGTGAGAATGAAGGTAAAAAAGTGAGAGTGAGTGAGTGAGTGAGTGAGTGAGTGAGTGAGTGAGTGAGTGAGTGTGAGAGTGAGAGTGAGTGAGAGTGAGAGTGAGAGTGAGAGTGAGAGTGAGTGAGAGTGAGGGTGAGTGTGAGTGAGAGTGAAAGTGAGAGCACCGGTAATCCCCTATCCCTGGCAAACACCAGGACCTAAGACCTAGGAATGCTTCGTGGTGCCATAGGATTCCTGAATGTGGAAATACTTTACAATTCGGGGCATCATGGTGGTTCAAAAAAGGCTTCAGATCCAGCCGTGATCATGTCTAATGAACGTCTTCAACGATATGCATTCCGTCTTCTAGATTTCCTGGTTGCTTCAATCCCTGGCACATCTGCACGTGGGAATCACACTCTGATGGCATCAGAGTGTGAGCCAAATCAAACTGATGGAAACGGGCTCCCTAGACCATAACAAAAATGATTGTGAAGCCCTTTCACATCGTCATTTTTCAGTGCAAACCAGGTCCTTTGGGAGATCTTTTTCACATGCCCAGCTGGATCTGATGCGTTGGATCCATGTTCACGTTTGTTCATCCGAAGCTTCAAACTCAGGCCGCGGCCCCGGTGGGCCTTGAACTCCAAACCTGGTGATCTGGGGCTTCAGTGCAAAAAACCTACTGGGCTGACTCGAGTGCTGAACTCTAGGTCTTCACAAGTGGACTAGGCCGTCTTGAATGTCTTGAGACAGTTCTGGCCGACCTCCGACCTTGGAACCACAACTTGCATTCCTTTCCATACTTCATCTGGATCTGAGAGGGCCGATTCAATGGCACCCATGAGTTCCAAAGGAATGAGCACAACTCTTCTTCAACAACTGGAAACTCTAGTGGGATTTTGCCCCAACATCCCCAACTCACTTTGCGCACCCCTGCCAAGCCACTAAAGGTGGCATCCAGCTGCGCAGTCCCCGTGAACGTTTGCCTGAAACTTGAATGGTGGTCGAAATGACACAGAAGCCATGCCATCCGACAGGTGGTGGTGTTGCTAACAGAGTCCGCCTTACGCAATTGGGTTTAACATCTCTCTAGGGGCCTTAAGAACCCGTTGCCAACAAACAAAGCTCTTTTGAGGATTCATCGTTGCTACACCTTGGCAGGAACGAATTGAGAAGCCAAGCAACCGGATGCTTCAAAACCCCTTGAAACATACCTCTTCACCCATGGCTGAGAGCTGGTGGAGGTCCAAATGGCCACGCAATGTAAGCATGGATGAACAAGGATTGAGTGCCCAAACTCTGATCACTGAAGACTCAACACTCTGACCACAGTCCATCCAACCATGCCGAACACCCAGTCATCGAGAACCCCCCCCCAGTCGCCAAACACCCCGCTCCACCCGTCGCTGCGTTCGATCCCATCAAGTCCCCAGTCCCACCGGTCTCCGCGTCTCTCCGCATCATCATGTGACCTTGAAAATCTCCTGGAAATGCAGGACCACATGGACCCCACCACTTGGGGCTTGGGTGACTTGGAAAATGGTCTAAAGAACGACTTGGAGCCAAGGGCTCCGGTGACTCGTCTGCGTCTTCAGCCGTCACCGTCGTCTCCGCGTCTGGGATCCGGCCCGTCGGCCGCCAAGTTGGCCCGGAACTTCCCATGGCCATCCTGGCAACTCATCGGGTCCGTCCCTCTCCCAGTTTTGGGATCAATCCCCGCAGTTATGGACCACAGACTCTGGTGGAGATGAATATGGAACCTCCAAAAACCGTGAGGCTATCGTTGGCTAGGTGCGTCAAGGGCGCGCGGCTCCTGATTTGTCTTAAAATTGGAGAGGTTGCCCAACGAATATGGCATGTCATGCTCAAACACGAGATGGATGTCATGGGTATCCACTAGGACATCTAAACTGATGCTACTCACCAACACATGAAAGCATTGAAAAACATGATAGATATGATAGGGCCACCCAGAATATAATGGTGCCTTGTTTGGATGAGCACAGGCCCATCCAAGTGAAGGACACCCACTCATACCACGTGGTTACATTGCATGTGTCTTTGGGCTTTGGAAAGTTGGACCTCCGGAAGACGTACAGTACTCAAAGCGGGGCCATTGCCTTCTTTCTTTATGCGGCAAACAGCCATGTATGAAAGCCGCTCAATGAACAAACAAAATTATAAATATACATTTTTCTGCATCAACCGCACTATAAAAAAATATCAGCACATCCGCCGCTTGTCTCTTTGGACCTCTGTCCAGGTCAGCACATAGCCCTGCACATGGCCGACAACCTTGGTGGAGCTACGGTCCACTGGCTGAATGGTTTTCGCATCGTGGCTGTGAACTCATGGGCCTCGGCTTTGCAAAGCTCTCTCGAATCATTCTTTTTGTTACAGTACCAACTTATTGGGACAATTGCAAACCCCCCAAGTGAGGGAAGAGCCTTGTCTCTGCAGTTCGTGAGGGAAAACCACACAGAAACACCAACTCATCTAGGCAGCATGCCAAAAACCGATGCCACGAGGCAGGTGCCACTCCCTCCATGGTGAAAGGACCCCTTTTTAAGGGTTAAAAAAGAGGTTACCAACATGGAGAAGGACACAAACTAATTCTGTTGGACCTATGTTCAACAAGGATAACTTGAACAAACCTATCTGTAGCAATGTGATACTTGTACAAACGATTTCCGCCACTGCTTCTCTTAAACCATCATCTTGCTGCCTTGAAGCTGCTGAGCGGTGTGAATTTCCATGGCAGGCATAGCCCTGGACCTCGGGAAGTGGGACACCGCCCAGCCGAGTTCTCGGGAAAACTTCCACATTCTCATGCCCAGCCAGCCAGGTGTCGAAGTTGCTCGGTGTACTAAACCACCCCATAATATGAAGATACAATCCAAATGGGAGGGTGTTATCCATCAAGACTACACCATTAACCATAACCAAAATGATACCAACAAAACATGGCGGGCGGCCGAGGTCGCTCCGATCGAGCTGCGCTTCATCGGCCGAGAGCGCTGCTTCTTCTCGGTCTGACTGCGTCAGCTGGTACCTCCCAGAGAGCGAACTGCCGGTCGACGAACATTGGTAGCTGTCCGGTTGAGATGGTACCCCGTCCGTTCAATCCAAAGAAAGATCACGGTCATCTTGGGGAACACTCTGCAAAACGCCCTCTTGCTGCGGATGTTCCTTGAGTTGCTACACCTATACTGCTTAAGAACGCTCACTCAACGGGTGAGCACAACATGCTTCATCACTAGCAGGTGCTTGTAGATGCATACATTGGAAATGTGCATGTTATAATGATATACTGTAATTACTAGACAAACAAATCATGCATTGATTTCGGGGTAAAAACTCGGTTGGGGAGGCCAGGTGCAAATACTGGCGCTGCGAGCGGTGCTGGTGGCGCGGTCGAAGGGGTTCTCGCAAAAGGGGTCTCGCGGAAGGACCTGGCACAAAAACGGGAGTCTTGCGTATTCAATTGTTGGAGATTCTAATAATCCCAAACCATCCATGTAAGACAAAATTACACATTGATGATCGAAATATGTTGGAAATTATATACAGTATGTATCATATGTATGAGGCCATTCCCATTGATGGTCTGACAAATGGATGGTCTGTCAAATCCCGCAGTGAAGCCCAATCCGCCCAATCCGGAGTGAACCCTTCGGCTTCCTCGGGTTTCCCGACTCGAAGCAAACGGCTGGACCTGATGGAGTGTACGGCGTAATGGCGTGGCGGGTGAGATATATGTCTTCATAATAAATAGATACTCTTTTCACTTGGAGGAGTTCGCGGACTCTTTGGCAACTTGGGTTTAAGACTTGGATGTGAACTTGCGATATGAACGGATGACCTGTGGCTTCAATCTGGTCCGACGCCTGTGAGTCAGTCACCATCCCTTCAAATGCCTCTCACCCGTGTTGGAACTCGCGCTCGGTCCGCGCGGACCGTGTAGGACAGTGACCAGGTGACCGGATGATGGTCATGACGACGTCGAAGGAGGAATCCAGGTCCATGCGGGACCAGGTCGCATTCTGCGTAGTCTATTGGTGTCCCATTGTGGGATTTGATCCATGTTCTTTGACTCTCCCTCTGCAGCTGATCCAACGTGCCCTTTGGGCTATCCGACGTTGCACCTGGACCTGCCATGTGCCAGTAATTCCATTTGGAGGCTTCTCCACAGATGCTCCTCGTACGGCCGTACGGCTGAACTTGCTGGTATATGTTGCACAAAGTGCTTTCAACGTCTTGTTTGACCACTGAAGTGAGAATCGCACGTATATACAATATGCTCAAACTATAGCTTGTACAATGGATCTGCAACATACTACAACTGGATTTCAGTGGAGGAACAGCTCAGCACTGTCACGACTCGGGTTCGTCGCCTCAGGACTTGAAACAGTCACTGTCACCTGCACTCTGCGGCTCTCGAGCTTTGCTCGCCTTGAGCAGCGCTCGTGTTCGGCGCTGGGCCGGCCTCGAGAAGCTGACGAGGCACGTTGCAGCTTAGAATCGGCTCGTTGGGCGCGACACGGACCCCGAACCACGAGCGCCAACGACATGTGTGTCTTCGTGCGCGCTTGGACAGCGGGAGGGCGAGTCGCAGAAAGAAGAAACCGCAGAACATGTTCATAGCGGGATCCGACCAGGGCCATTCACCAACAATCTTCAAAGCAAACCTGCTTGGGCTATCCCAAAAAGAATACCAATGGCCCTACCGATTGCCATGGCTGCTTGCTCTCCACCTGCATGTCACAAAAACACCTGTGGGGGTTTGCTTGCTGTTGCCACAGCTGCGATGAGAGGATGATGGAGTGGCCATGCCTTCCCACGGACAACGGGGACTACTGACCTTGGAAAGTGGCAAACACCCAATGTTCCGCAGCAGGAAGGTCACAAATCTATCGAAGAAAGCGGGCGATCTCTTATATGTATGGGCTCCCTCAACGGGAGTTATGTTCAATCATTTTCATACAAACATTAGGAGCCCTAGAAGCCTAGAAGCTATTAGTAGCTTCTTGTTCCTAGCAGCTTCTTGTTCCTAGTAGGGCCAGGAGCCGTAGCGTCTTTGCTCCTATAGTAGCCACTGAGCTGGTGTTCGGAAAGTGCTAAGCCCTTGTGACCCACGGACCGAGCGCCAGCACCCCTTCTGCTGCTTCCACTTTTCTCCTCTTAGCACTCCTGTGGTGCGTTCGAAGCTACACATCGGACTGAACATGGGGAGAAACCCTTTTCGGATCCTTTTGGCATCTTTTGGTTTTGACATGCTTGTTATTTTAGTTATATGACGTAGTAAACCATCACAGTATAGGAAAACGATGGACAACGTAACTTGATGAAAAAGCCCATCGAGGTTCTCAGGGAGGCCAAATCGCATCGCAATTAGTGTACCAGGAGGAGCACCTAATTACGCTAATTAGACGTGGCAGCACCAGCGGCGATCGCAGCAGCAAACACAAACGTTGTAAGGGTGAAAGTCTTGTCATTCAGCAGAACATGTACCGCTGTGTGGTACATTCTGCTTATATACGATTGCTCGGAGCAATAAAGTCTTCCGGCTAGTGCACCGCTGCTCCAAGCACCCAAAGATGCCAAGCTGATGTTGGGGAGAACTGTACACTCTTGATTTATATAAATATCATGGAGGGTTTGAGTCACGCGCCTACATGAAGGGTAAAAGCAAATCATGCACCTCTCGCTGGCTCCAATGAAGCCGTGCTTGAAAGCTCAAGAAGGCTTTCACAAAACATGTCCAGTGGTCGGCCGTTTGTTCTTTGATCCATGGGACTCGACAGCGAGGCGACTCGACACCGGTTGGCCACGGGGCCTGGGTCCCCACTTTCAACGCGTCCGACGATGCTTTTTCGGGGGCTTTTGGCCGTGCCAGGTGATGTTCTTGTTGGCGGAGGTTCCGGAGGTTCCACCTTGAGAACCTTTGAGAGGGTATGCTGTAGATCAAGCAAAGTCCAGGGGAGGATGGAGATGTTTATGGAATGGATTGACAGCTACATCAACCTGTCTTGATTGAAATGACCTTGACATGACATGAAATGACCATGCAGTCCAACAAAGGTTACCGAAGGATCTACCCAAGCCGAAGGATGCCAAGAATACCACGAATCTTCCCAAGTCAGTCAACTGTCAATGCCACTGAATCTCCGGGGAGGAGCAAGAGTGGTCAACACGAGACTGGCTATACTATACACCCCTCCGATTCCTGTCCTAAACCTGCCTGTTGGCCTTGTGAAAGGACCGTCTGCAGTGGATCCAAGCTTGGCAATCCTGAAGGATCATGCCCTCATCCCATCTCGTCTCAAACCCACCAACAACTCGTCCCCGCTCCTGTGCTGTATTGGGGTCTCGAGTGGCCTCTCACCATCGACGCCGGCAGTCTGAAGCTGTTCTAAGCCCGGAGGCTGAGGAGCCGAGTTGGGAGGAACTGAGTGCAGCATCTGGTAAACCTACTTCAAGCTACCTGGAGTCTCAGTTCGTACCTCGGAAAATGGGTACAGTCGTACCTGTTTTTTGGGGGGTCATGTCCCATTTTCTAAGGTACTTGAAGTCGGGTCCAGGTATAGTAGAATCCGAAACCTTTGGACATGTTAGTGGCTCCCGCCTGGGCTCAGGCCCAATCGCCTGGTTGGGCCGGCCGAGGTCGTTGAAGGAGGAGCAGAAATACTTGAACCGTTGGAAAACGGAACACCAACACAAACAACAAGAAACCAACTCTCAGTAAAGACCGCCGTGTCCGCGAAGTGGCAGCGGCTGCGGCCTTTTTGATCACTTGAGCCAAAGGTACAAATGTTCATGAACTGTGTCTATACATATGAGGTGTACTTTACATAGGAAACTTCAAGTCCCCCCTCATAGTGAGATGAACATATGTACAGCTAGTATTCCAGGTCTGAGACAGTCGCTTCATTGCTTGAACCGTCTGTGACCTGACAATTCCTATCGAAAGACTGCAAGCTTAACCTAACAGGCTTACGAACGGCAGCTTGGGAGCGGCGCTTCAAGCAGCCAGTCACCCTTCATGCAAGTTTGGCGCTACGCTGGGCAGTAGCACTGTGCTGCATGCATTGTCATGACTTTCATTCGAGGCAGATCTAACTTAGTTTCGAACTGCTGCTGGTTATCGCTTAGCTTTAACCATTTCATTCATTACAGATCTAGTTTAGCTTTGAACTGCGGCTGACTATTGCTTAGCTCTAGTCATGCGAGCTCCTGCCTGCATCATAAGACGGGAGCGGACTCAGGGAGAACTGCAATAACTCCAAGGCATTTCCCCATTTGGACAACGGCAATCCTTTAGTAAACACGTCACCCTTTTGCTGAGTCGTTTCGATATGCTGGACAGTGATGTCATCAGCATTGTTGACTGTTTCGGCAGTTGAGGCCACATTTATGCGGTGGGTTTTACTCAAATGCCTTAATTTATTGGAATAACCTTTCTGGATAATCGAGACCACAGCTGTATTGTCTTCGAAAACCTTCAGGGTCATTCCGGGGATCAACGCTTGCCATACCTCCAAGGTAGGAATCGCCTCGGAGAATAAGGCGCTGGAAAGTGAGACGAACTCGCTCTCCGTGGTCGATCTTGCAACCACGCTCTGCCTCTTGGAACTCCAACTCACTGGCGCAAAGCTGGAGGGACCCGCAACTGCAAGGATGAATCCAGAGGTTGAACGCATAGATTTAATGTCACCACCGAAATCGGCATCGCAATACAGAGACAAGTTCAACTGCTCTGGCGGATCACGAATGCACATTATCGGGGAGTATTCATGGGTCTTTTGCAAGTACCCAATGAGTCTTGCGACTCTTTTATCGTCGTTGGCCGACCACACCGTAATGTGTTTTGCCAACAGAGTGACAGCAAATGTGACGTCTGGCCTGCTAATGCGACAGAGCCACATCAACTTCATAATTAATTTGGCCGAATGTGGCGAGAGCTGTCCCTTGACCTCGTCATCAGCGGGGATCAGGGCTCCATCGTCCCATGAGGGCGAGGAATAGGCCTTCACCGGCGTTTTTGCCAGCTCTTCATACAGTTCAACGCACTGTTTTGCGAAGTCAGATGATTCTAAGGCCACTGCTTTGCTCCCTTGAAACCACACAAGCCTATGGTTTCGTCCTAAGACTCTTCCATATTCTGACGGTGGATCTAAATTTATATACTGCTTGAGGGTTTTCCAGAATCCTTCATGTTCGGAGGCTACTCCTGAGAGTGTGAGGTCGTCTACATAGACGCTCATCACTAGAGAACGACCGAACCGAAAAACCGAGGGCATCTCACTGAACTCGACACCGTTAAGTTTTTCTTGCAAGATTTTGGAAAGGTGGGCCTGCCAGTGCGCCGACGACTCTGGATGGCCATAAAGGCTCTTGTACAGCTGCGCGCAAGGCATGTGGATGTGCCTCTTGGACTCTGGCACAAGCTCAGGCGGTAGCATCACAAACGTTCGATGCTTCGTGCCGAGTGCGGACTGAATATAGGCCCGGACGCAATCAGATGTTGAACAAGTGTTTCCCTCGATCATTGAAAAGGCTATCACTGTGTTCAATGCTGCAATTGAACTCGGAGCGGAAGCAGCAAGATCTTGGAAGATGGCGCTCAAGCCCCCCTGATCCTTGACTGCGTCACCTCGGAAAACAATCCGAGCCTTGATCTTCCAGTCAGCAGGGTTCTTTTCATATCCCTTTATGCTAACTATCACCATTAGGGCTCCGAAATTCAGTGTTTCATTGGGAAATTCCCTGATCACGTCTGCCTTTGACCTAATCTCATCTTCAATCCAAGTCCCTTCCAAAACCAAACCATCTTTCTCGCTTTTAATGGCAAGGTAAACTTCTGGGCGACCCTTCCATTCAGCACGCTCTAACAGACGATGAACGAATGCTGGTGTTACAAACTCCTTACATCCACTCTCATGCATGAGGACATCAATGGGAACACATGGCATCCCTTTGACAACATGCTGCCGGTGTGAATGAATCACGCGAGGTGTGCACGGCATGCAAAACACATGAGCATTGATGACATGTGGAAACAAAGCATGCAACATGATCTGGCAAAGAGGCTCTGGGTAGAAAGCTGAGTTTCGAGTGTATTTCCCTTCAAGGGGTGCATGCTTGTCATGCGCGCACTTCAACATTCCCAAAGAATCAGCTAACCTCTTATTATTCGTGACAAACCTCCACGGCTTTCGAGCGGGTTTGTTGTCCTTGGCAGTGATTCCTACGGTGCAGCCATCGAAAGTGGCAGACAGCAGTTGCCTTTCTGTGATCCAGGAAGCTAGGGGTTCACTCATCCACCCTGAACAATACCTTGGCCACTCAAAAGACACAAAACCACCATTATCAAGAACATGGTTTGCAACCCTGATGAACGAATGCATCATTGAAACACTTTCCCTACGCTTCTCTCGAAGGATGTTGGACAATCTTGGGTTCTTTGCTTCATTCAACCTTTGCCAAGCACTCCAGGGACCACACTCAATGGAACCATGGATTGAACAACCAGGGATGGCTTTCACTTGCTCAACAAGTTGGTCGATGTTTGCTTTACTTGCAAGATCTATGTGTTCCTTACAAAGTCTTACAACTTGAACTCCAAGCTCCTCACCAATCCTACCGAGCGCTGAGTCTGAAGCACAGGCAAATTCAAACAAAATCTTGCCACCTGGGGAATTGTGGATCTGACTGTGTAGACGCTCAGGCTTTGCAGCTGCTCCTAGACAGCTCTCATTGCTTGCAGCGACTGCTGATGCATACGTTTCTTGGACAATCGTTTCTGGAGCTTTCTTGGAAATGGCATCATGAGACATGGCAAGGACGGCATTCATGCCTGCGTGGACACGAGCTTCATCACCCTCAGGTTCATTTTCATCATCAGAGGGCGGAGGACATTCTGGGATAATCTCCTCTTCATCCTCTTCGGCCTCTGACAAAACAGTTGGGGTGTACTCTTCGTCAATCAAGTCTCCTAGGATCTCCGGCATTTCGAAGGTCGGAGGCTCAGGTGCTGGGGTCGAAGGAGCAGCACCGAATGCTTCCTCATACCGGGCAATGCATTCGGCATTGTGTGCAGACGAATCAGCATCGCAACCTTTGCATCCCTTGGTCGGGCCGATCTTCAGCATCCTACTGTACGTGATGTAAACTCTGCGTGCTTTAGACTTAGTCTCTGGGGTGTCTTCGATGAAAGGAATTGGCAGAGGATCCACGTCAGCGAGTTGACGAACATCAGGATCCGAGAAGTCATTCAATGCCTTCTCTGCAAGATCTCTCAACGGAAACACACGCTCATCACGAACATAAACCTCCTGATCCGGGGCGACCACAATGGAAACATGACCTTGCTTCAAGGAGTTGTAATCCACAAGTCTCAAAACACCTTTGTACCGACACCCAAACTCAAGCTTCCAACCTCCCATTAGGGCTGGTGAAGAATTGGGGGCGAGTTTTGACTTCTCTTGAAACTTTGTTCTATAGAAAACCAACTGACCCAAAATGTAAATCTGCACCTTTGAACTCAGAACCAAAAGCCTTTGACCAATGCTCGATGCTCATGGAAACAGCTGTGTACTGGCATGTCAGGGTCCAAAGTTTTGGGAACACAGCGAACCCTGCTTGCAAGTGCATGCTTCTGCAAGACTCTTCAAAGGACCTGATTTGTCTTTCAAGTACACTGTTGTGAGGCCATCTCCTAGGCAATGATGCGTCTGACAACCAACCGAGTGAACGAATGGCTTTCAGAAGCTCCTTGGCACAATCTGACTTACAAATGGTTTGAGGGTTCTTGGCCTTTACACCCACAAAATGGTTCAGGGCTTCCTTGACCGAATCAGTATCTTTTGTTGCCAGAGGGTATGCTTGGAAAACTTTGCTGAACAAGTCCATCACCACAAGAACAACAAATTCCTTCCCCGACGAAGATTTTGAAACGATCATGTGATCACATGCAATTTGCTGGCCGAACGCTTCAGGAACAGGAAGATCACTCTCTTCGTCTGCTCTACGATGGGATCTGATGCGTTTTGAGTACAGCCTAGCACGATTGCAAACATCACAAAGTGCGGACTTAGGGAAATGTGTCATGCAATGCTTGGTGGACAGTGCAAGTTCCCGTTCACGCACGAACTTCTCAGATTCAGGAACCTTTGGCAAAGCCTCACCTGGAGCAACGCCACGAATGTCGTCTGCAACTGAATGCGGAATCGCACCTTCAGGAGACCGGACCTCGGGTTCTGCTTCAACAGGTTCCACCTCACCTGGTACGCCTGGAATGAAATCAAATGATCTGGAGAAATATGGTACATACTGATCAACCCTCGTTGCTCGAATCAAATTGCTTTCATCCGTTTGGAACTGGAATTGGTTGCAGTCTTTTGTATAGCATGGGAGTTGATTGGGCAACCACAAAAACCCCATACCATTGCTGACATCAAGACCAACAGACCGGACAAACGGGCATGAGTCAAGCACGAAGTGATTTGCCTCTTGAAAGATGCCTTCACGATCCCTGAGACCGATTGCATCGCTCGAATCTCTCTTTCCTCCACCTGTCGAAAACCTCAGGCTCTCATGTGAAGGAAGCTGGAACTGGCTGAACACCTCTGGAGACACTCCCTGCC